AACATTCTGTGATTCTGTGATACTGTGATACTGTGTTGAAAATAGTCAGGTAATATTTCGGTGGTGATAAATGTATGGTGAAATGCTTCAAAAAATTAGGCTTTTCAAATAATGGAGGCTTTAGGCACAGAAGGCTATGAAAATATATACCAGAAATCAGCTTCTTCTCCTATTATGTATGTTATTTCTCTTTCTTCAGGAACTGTTTCAACAACCAAGCAGTAGCATTTTCCATAACAGTTTCAGGGCTATTCACAAATAAATTGCTGTGTTCTGAAGTTGGGATGAATAAATTGTTGTAATTTAAGTCAACATTCTGCATCTAATTTTAATCAGTTCTGACTGAAACTATGATAACTGTGAGAAGAACTGGTTACAGCCATTAAGACGAGGACATAGACATTATGCTTTCACTCTGTCTTGAATCCCACCTTGTTACTGCCAGATGCTAAAAACATGTTCAGTACTATTATTATCAGTACTACAATACCAATTACTTTAAAAAGCTTGTTTGTGTATGCATGGGTGTAAGCCTTGAGAAAGAATAACTGAATTTTAAAGCTAAGCACTTTTAAAAAATCACAGGGTGTTTGGAAATCGTTTTGTTCATTGTCAAACCACAACACTCACTAACTCGTAACTGTTCAATTTTGATATGTTCAATTTTTAATGATACTCTTTAAAGGAGTAACAAGCTTTTATGACAAATTTACAAAGCAGTGTAAATTTCACCCACATTTCCCAGATTCTCTTCTCTTCATTTCCCGAGGAGTGTAATTCCAGTCCTTTGGAACTGTTTTCAGTAAACTTGCAGGAACTATTTGTTTGTGCTGGTACGTTCCGTAGTTTTCTGTTGCCTCCCATGAATGCATCAAAGAAATCATCTGCTTCACTATACCCTTGACTGAATTAATCAAAGTCAACTTCAAGCATCTGATAACCTCTGGCTCCGACCCACCACAACTGGAAACTTCAGAAGGAAGAATTATTAAATTCAGTAAGTGTAGTCATTTGTGTAAATCTGTTTCAGAAAAAAGTGTTTTCAGAAAGAAAAGTAAAAACATTGTGCTTCATAACAACTTAGATGTATTGGTCTGTTAAAAATTAAAGAAAGAGTATAAAGCAAAACAGTGTAGCATCTTGTACCATCTTAATAAAGCACTGACAAAATTACAATTTATTTCCTTCATCCTCATTTCTCCATCAATATATTTCTAAAAATTTAATTTAAGCTGACTGGTGTCTTTCTTTTTATATGGATTTCGTTTAATTATTTGTTAGACATCAACGAGGCAAACAGATATACTTAGTTTTTTCTCCTTGTTGTCTTGAAAGTATTAATGAAGTTGTGTTTATTAGATACCCAAACCATTAGACTAGATAACAGCAAAGGAAAAAAGATATTTTGTCAACAAAAATGCATGCAAATAATAGTCTTCAACAGAGATGCGGCATGTTATCAGAGACCGCATGTTGAAAATAGACCATCCTAAATACAATTATTGACATTACTACAAGTATCAATCTTCTCCACATTCTCAATACCACAGAGAATTGCTGTTTCTCCATTGCAATGGTGCGCAAGTTGACAGGCAGCGCAGTGCATGACAGACATATCAGAGATGTCTTTTGACATGTTAGATCCTTTGCTCACACTTTTGCCTGTCTGTACGCCTTGCCGATCTAAGTTTTATTCTTCTTTGCATGGCCTTTCTGGAAGCTTCCATAAAACATCTCTGTATATTTCTTGCTCTTACACCTTAGACTTCTATTTTTTGCAATCACATTTTTGTCTGAGGAATACCTGAGCACTTTTACTGCTATTGTTTTCTATTTTGTGATACTCATAATTCTATTTCTCCTCTTACATTGTCCCATTTTCATCCTCACCTCTCTTTTCTGTTAAATACTGCTTTATTTGAGGGCAGCATTAGTTGCTATAATTGTGAGGGCAGTTCTCCCTTTCCATGGAAAATTAGGAGCCTGTCTTCCTATTGATGAGAGTCATATGCTCCTCAGACTAGGTCTACCTCAATAGGAGGCCTTCCTTTTCTTTTTCCATTGTCCTATAATAATTTCGTAATTTGAAATCATGGCAAATGTGTGGAGCTATTAAATTTACAGAGACAAAGAACCTGCATTGGTGGAGAGCTACCTGGTGAGACAGACACTTCAGGAAATCACAATCTAGGTTGACCATACCATTCCATAACCTCTGCTTTTTTCAAAATTTTCACCACTCCTACCATGACCTGATTGCTCAAAAAACTTCAGTTAAACTATAATTTTGAAGTAAGCCTCTGTCATTTCACCTGATTTATTAAAGTAGAAATAATCAGTATTACATGTCTGAAAACTGACAAGGTTTAACATCAGATTTTAAATACTTATTAATAAATTAAATACCTGTCATATTGTATAAGCAATTCCACAACTGCTCTTTTTCCATGTAGGTCTCAAAAGCAATGCCAAGAGATTTAGGTGACAAAGTGCAGTAGGACAATACTGTGAAGACTGTTTCAATCAGAGTAGGCTGTTTGTTATTCATCTGTTCTAACACAGAGCTTTGTTCATCATGATTCAGTGCTTCACCTCCTTCAAAATAAACAAAAACATGGTTACAATATTTTTCAAGTAATTCAAGTTCACAGTAATAGATAGTATTAATCAAAACAAACTGCAAACTGTATCTGAATAATATTTCAAACAATACTTACAGATACTGAAATCTGGTCTTCCTCTGCACAGTGACATTTGACTGACTTCATGAATTATATGTAGCCATTAAAAAACAAAGACTCAGGCATGTTTACAAACTATGGAATTTGCTTATTTAATCCAAAATGCTCTCCGTATATAATTTGAATTTGATTATTTACTAAATATTAACCAGAAGCAAACTGTCCTACTTCTGCAGAATCACAACTAAAAAATTATTACTGCTTAACTCCTCCAACCAATATATTAGTCATGTGAAATAACAGAACTCCATTTAGTTATACAAAATAAAATAAAGTAGCAGGTGCATACTCCAGAAAATGAGTTGTCTTTATTCTTCAGTACAAGACGAAATTGAGTAGAAATCAGTTCCTTGAAACAAAATCTCAGCTCTGCTAAGATACAGATACCTAAGTTTTCAAAGATAACTATTGGTTTTCATAGATTTGAGTGGCAACAGCTTACATAACATGTCTTTCTAAATGTTCTTCATAATAATTATAAAACATTTTGCCACCTGAAGGACAATGATGTGTTTAAACCTCTCTTTGAACCAATGCAACTCAATGGCTTTGACTGGTGCTGAAGTTAAAGACCTTAGCTTCCCACATATTTCTGGAATATGCTTTTGGTGTTAACAATCATAATAAATGATCAGAGACAGAACCAATTAAACACTTGTAATTCAAATTTCTAGTTTGCAAAACTGAAAGTTTCTGCAAAACTGATTTAAATAAAATTACACTTGAAAATATCATTGTTTAATGCCATTTTGGCTGCCCACATATTTAGCAACCTGTGCAGGAGAAAGATGAGAGAGGCTAAACTTCTAGGCTATGTCTTTCTAGTGGTTCAATCTGCCTTCAAAATCTACCACAGTCAAAAATTATTTTTTAAAAAATTAATGTAACCAAATTCTAGAGAGAAGGGTTTTCTGAGATTTTAAATACTGTGTAAAACTGAACACAATGGGAAATTTATTTGATTAAAGGGGCTTATGACTTGAAATTTAAGACTAAATTTGCTTTATGATCATTCCACATGGAAAGTTTGAATCACAACTTACTAAAAACTTTTCTAATCAACCTAGTGCTACCAATAAATCTAGATAAATGGAAGGAAGTAGAAAAGAATTCTGTAGGGTGTTATACATATATCTCCTTATAACTACTATGTAATACAAGTCTTGTGCTTTTAAGCAAAGATCTTTAGGAATCCACTGGGAAACCATTCTGAGACTAAACAAGATATGTATGTTTTTATCAGCTTTTTCTTCTTGTACCCTAAGTAAATGTTGCCTTTATACTAAGCATATCTAACCCTTCAAAGCTCAACTTGAAATGCAACATCCTTGAGTTTTCTGACTAAAAAACTGGCATAGATAATGTCAGTTGGTTGAAGGTTTAGCTGCTTATTCAGTATAGCTGGTTAAATATTATGAATTAGAAGTATATGGAAAGATATGTAGATTTCACTTGCCTTAGAATTTTTCTTTAACGTTTATTAGCTCACCTGTCATAACATTAAATATTCATCTTAGTTTGAACTCCGATGCAGCCTTCTTGTTAATCATCACATAAGAACAGTATTTATATGATATGCACCATACTTACTGCCCACTGTTATTTCCCTCTATATATTTCTCTTTTTGCCACTCACTGCATTTGTATATCAAGAGCCAATCTGAGAAGTGAATCTAAAGCTCCTAAGGCAGCTCAAAGGAGATGCTTCTTTTTCATTTTAGCAGGACTTACCTCCACACACAAATATGGCTATATAGTTATCTTAGGTACCTATTAAAGAAAATCTGCTGTTTGTTATCTCCATATAGCACAATGTTCCACATGCACAGAGAATGCCAGAATAAATAAAGAAATATTATTAATGCTATTAATAAATACCCTTATAAGAAAATAATGTATCTGGTGAATAACAGCTATGCCTTAACCAGTCAATGAATCATTCCTCCTATGACAAAATAATGTACTTAGCCTCTTGGGATAGTACCATGTATTGTAAAAACATCTTCAAAGAGGCAGACTTAAAAACATAATTTATATATATTTCTTTCTTACTGATAGAAATACCTCTCAGTAACTTGATGACTTTATCACACTCATCTAGCTCTTATCTGCTATGGGTTTAGTAATGAAATTAATCTTACTGAATTTAGAAAATCTTCTCTTATTGACTCTTGAATTCTTCCCTAGTGAATAATCCTTACAAGACAGACTAGCTATAAACAGTTATGCTATCTTTTTTTGACCAAAAGAGGTAGTCAAAATTCAAATTTGTACATGCTGTTTCATTTAGCAAGAGAAACAAGCAAGTTACTTCTGATACAGTTCTTTATTTGCCAAGAGCATAAAAATTCTGCTTACTTTATAGTTCAAATCATAGCAGCTGATGAGACTATAAAGAATGCAAAAAGGATATATTTTATTTGTTTCTGGAACCAAATCTTTCAGCAGGCACTCTGAACTACTTGCTCCTTGCACTATTTTCTAAGTGCTTCTTCTTTTACCAGTTTTTTTCTATTCTTTGTCTGTATCTGTTCCGGTAGATAATTTTCCTTGTCTCCCATAAAGTTGCTCCTCTCCAGTGCAATCATTCTCCAGTCAGCCTTGACAGCTGGAAGCTATTGTAACTTCAAATATGATTTAATTTTGGCAGAAAGTCTATAATTTTAGTTTTTAATTCCAAAAAGAAATTTTGATTATATTGCTTCTATGCTGAATGAAACACAGATCTTAACCCTTCTCATTTCAATTTAGTAAAACCCAAATAATAATATCCCCTGTATTAGCTGCTACTGGTGAATCCAATGAATTCCAACTTGGTGACAACTAAAAAGCTCAACACAAGGCAAAAAGACTTTAACAAATTCTATATCATCTGTCCACAAATTATTAACATATCAGCAAACTACTTCTGTGCCTATATATTTATACGTCACTAATCTCACAGTATTTTATTCTCATTCACCTCCCTTTAGAATTTTTTCTCCCTAAATGTTTTATTTTCACCTATCTAAGAAGCAGCTTCCATTAACAAATCTCTGGGTTAAGGGCTTCTGTGAAATCCATTTTACCTGGGTCAAATGGAAAAACCATTACTATCAGAAGCCCTCCACCACTGACATGAAACAGTATGCTGAAAATGTGGCATTCTTGTACTACAAAATTTGATGAGGCAATACTTAATTTAGTTCTGTGGCCACATGACATCCTTTGTAATACCCTGTGTACTGGATCAATACTGAACAAGTTACCCTCTCAAAATGTATTCAGCCTAGAGCTCTACTGTAGCAAGAATTTCCTATCAGAACTGACTAGGTCTTTGAAAAGCTATCCATATGACCATATACCATAGTCATGGAGACTATCACAAATATATCACACAGAATATCTTCACACTATGTCAAGTGAAGGTATGTGATTCTCAGCAGGGCCCTGTTACACTCCAAACTGAAATTCCTATTCAATAGTTCAGAAATTCCATAAAATCTGTTTACTGATTTCTTTAGCTTCTCACTGGAAATTCATCAAAAGGAAAAGGATATTTGACCAGGGTCCCTTTTCCACTGATCTTCCAGCTAGAAGTACATCTTGCCAGTAACCATGTCTACCATTTCACCACATTGGTTATGCAGATACAGTAACCAGTAAGTTTACTGGTCAGATGGGTATTTTGAGGAGATGTCACTTCTGAAATAATTTGCTGATCCTTTGATGTTAGGCTACCACAATAGGATTTGCTATCATGACCAAGCTAAAAAAACTTCCAGGTATTCTAGAGTCTGTATTCACAAGCCTCATTCCAGATGATCCACAGATATTTGGAGGAGAGACCTACCTCTGTACAAGCACATGGATTTCTTGAAAAGGAACTGGTCTCCTAATGAGGGCAGTGTTGTAGATTAACCCCCAAGTTTTGTGAAAAAACTTACAAGACTGTATTTCCCCGAAATTGTGTGTGGTTGAACCATGGGACTTGGACAATTTCTAGTTTTTCTAGTTGCCTGGTAAACCGTGTTTAAAGACTATTAAATCCAAGCACTTATCACAAGGAACTACAAAAATAATTGCCTTCAAGTACATGAAAAAAAAAGTTTTAAATTGTTACACAGATTTAGTCAGGAGTTGTTAATGCAGACAGTAGTTTATTTAGGGAATTTACATTTTCTTTTGTAATAACGCCCTACTGTCACTAAAAGTTCTGTCCGATTCCTAAGTGAGACCAGTTGGTAAAGTTGCCACCTTTCACTGTTATTCTAGGGTAACTTACAAAAAATCAGTGTTTATGTTTAAATGCCTAAAAATAATTAATTTAATGACATTTAACTAAAATTTAATTAGTACTCAAAATTTACATTAAAACTATATTCTATGGCAGTTAAAGAGCTGCTTCACAAGGGGCAAAGAATCAGTGTGGAGAAAAAAAAGCTTCCATTCTACAAATATATTTTCAAGTAATTTATTTTGCCAAAAATCAGTTTATAAAGGCATAGTCTTAGAAAACTCTTCATATCTATAACTGTCTAGCGAGCTGGTTGATACCACACCACAGTTTAATTTTCTCAGTGGAAATCCTCCCTTTCCCCGCCCTGCTTATGTGTGCAATGTAAATGATCTCTTTTTGAAGAACTTGCTTTTCTTTGCTACCAATTTCAGATTTGCAGCCTTAAACTTATCACAGAATATTTGCAAATGTTACTATCAGTTCTTATTTCAAGGTTTTAGGGGGGACCAGGATATCATCTAGGTTTAACTATGCAGGCCACACAATACCCTCTTCCATTAGTCTCTCATATATGCATCGTGCAAGCCAAAACCATCGGGTGAAACCGCCAGTGGCCTTGTCCTGCCCTGAATGCAGCTTTCTTCCAGTTTATCTCCACTTGCCAGTATTCACTTTAAAGCTGTGTGTAGAAAATGAAACTAAGTCTCTGTAACAACCAGAGTCTCCTGTATTCATTATAATTAATAAGATTTTTTTTTAAAAGGAAATTTTTTTTCTATTGTACATCATTAAGTTGGTGCTACCATCTCTCCTTTTTAAACAAAATTATGTATGAGACCCAAGGACCAACTGAAGGCTTTGGATGTGCCTTGCTGACAATTTCTCAGCGACCCCTTTCTTATCTGTTGTTGGTGAATGGTGATGTGTCTGTTGTCTGACGAGGTTCCCATTGGTATTAATCCTGTGTCGGGCCACTGTAATTCAATAAAGCTATTGCTTTTTGCTTTATTTCGGTTCCTGGAAATAAAGACTCTCAAACGAGAAGTCACAGACTGTCCTGCTGGTATGCTGTGCATTTAGAGGAAATCTAGCAGAAACACTCAGGGTTCACTTTCATCCTTCCCATTTTCATAGCAGCATCTGCTGGATTCAATAACTCGTATTATACAAGCACGACTTTCTTTATTCCTCTGTTATTTATTGCTTGTCAAAATAATCCATTTCTGTTTCATACCCATGGGTGATAGAACAATTCTGTTAAAAAATTCTACCACGAAAATTGCAAAATAATGTTTTGCCAGAAAATTAACACAGTAGCAGCTACCTTCATTATTTCTCTCTGCAAGGGTACAGCAAAGGTCCTAGACCATTCACTCACTCAAGAACATGTCTTAGAAGAAATTTTCTGAATGTTGCATCTATAGAAAACAACTCTGGGATTATACTGCACAGTAGTTAACTGTAATTCAATACATCTAGACTGTTTAGACTTGTAGTTTAAGTTATAGAGGTCCCATACACAAATACAATTTTTCCACAATTTTTCCAAAGGTCCCTTTTCACCTGTACATTATTTCTGACCTCCATCATGGTAAAACAGGAGTGCAATTAAATTGAATGTGTTTGTGTGATGCCTACTCTAAGTATCCCAAACTCTTACTACAATACAAAAAAAAGTTATCATTACTTAAAACCATCTACATATAAGCACCTCTTTATAGAGAATTTTTGCCTTCTGGCCTGGTTTTTAAAGGGAAAAGGAAAATGTGAGTGTAAAATCAAATAAAATGTGAGAAGGCTTTTCCTATTCAAAAAATTATCATCTACTTAAACACCAGGGATTTTCATTATCGCTAGGGAAAATCACTCAAGAACTATGGTATACTTAGCTTTTTATCTTCATATATAATATTACACATTGCAAAATTTTACTGTTGATAAGTAATAATTCTGTAAGTCTTCTATCCTACCAAACAGAAGAATCCAAAACTGTCAATGCTAATTCTAAGGTATAACTTATTAGTCCAACTTTCATTGTACTAATACATAACAGCTCACATAAGAAAAAAAATTAACTTATATAGCATTGGAAAGCTGTTTTATAGGAGAAGGTATAAAGGATACTCTCATTTTATCATTAGATACTATCATTTTATCACCTTATTGAAATTAGTTTAGAAGATACAGATCATTGCAGGTTTCAACTTTATCTAAACTGAAAGTTCATTCATATGAATATTGTAATTACATTAACAAAGTTTGGGTAAACAGCACATTTTCTAATTCAAAGCACCATATATTTCCCTGAAGCTCAGAAGGTTGGTCAGTCAACAGATTAATACATTCTGTCACATAATACCTGTGATAATCTAAGCAGGGAGTAAAATTCAATACTGAGTAACACTAGGGTAAGAACATGATCCTGATCAAACGTTTGTCAGTCTTTGTAAAAGCTGACAGGTATTTGAATAGGCAAGTGGATGCAGTGCAGCTCTCAATAAGACGCATGACAGAAGAGGAAAGCAATGTTGTACCCCTGACAAATGTTAGACCGCTTTAAAATGACAGAACTAAATTACGTTATATCTAACATTATGTGGACCAAATAGGGTTTTTTTGATAAGTAGGGAGAATTCTTTTGCTAAAGAAAGATAGAAACTGAGACTCTCATTCACATTACTGCAAAATTATGTCAAACAGGTGATTATACCATTAGCTTTCCAACAATCTGATAATTTAATCTGAAAGCTATTAAAAGGAAAGACGCAAGAAAGTTTGTTGCTTCAAACACAATATTAGCAGAATAAAAAGAAAACCTTGTAGAACCACTCTTTTATTTTTTCTAATTTAATAACAGCATTAAGAGTATTAACATGAGGAAGGATATAAATGTACTTCTAGAATGCTTACAGTGACAAAAATACAATAACTTAAACTAAACCTCTAAGAAGCTTTGCACTGTTGAAACAACTTTGAAAGTGATCTGTCAGACTACTTACCCACACTTTTAAAATCTGAACAAAGCAGTTGAGTTATCAAAGCTCTCTCAAGTTCAAATTCATTTTTACTCCTTTGCATTTATTATAGCAGCCTATTTCATCCAATTGTAGTCTGGTTTGAAACTATGAATACTCAAACTGACTGCAAAACATTCTCATCAAAAAAGTGATTATTTTTTCTTTCTTTTACCCATTCAAGAAATGTCCTGCTGATGACTGACTGATATGACTGAATGACTGAATATAACTGAATGACTACTGATACCCCCAAAAAATGGTTGACAGCCTTCCTTCAGTATTTAAGCAGTTAAAAATGAATGTGTGTATCTTCCTGATATTCTTACAAGGATTGACAGTACAAATACTTACTTGAACTTCTCAGCAAAATTTTCACTAAGAGACAATCGTGATGTAGCAATGTTTCCAACAGCAAGTTCAAATTACAGTACGGCTGGGATAAGAGCAGTTTCAGCTGACCCTGGGCTGACATTTCTCTGTCTGATGGAGTCCTTTCAAAATGTAAGATAAAGACAAAATAATATAGTTAATTTATCTACGAAATTAATATCCTTAAAGTGCAGATGTAATGCTAACTCCCTTAAATGTCAATTCCTCCCAGATTACTCTGAAAACACTTCATGCTTGCTTACTTTAAGGCAGCTCAGGGAAGGAATTACATTTAATCTCAACTAGCTAAAAGCAAATTAACGTTTGGTAGCCTGCCAAAGTTATAACTGATACAAAACAACCTCACTTATCTCTTCCATGGAACCGTGTTTGCCTTTTTCTACCAGGCAAAAAGGATTTTTTTTCATGCTTGAACAAATTTAAGGCTATTATTGTTTAGCTCACTATCACATTAATTGTTTAGTAAGAGCTCTGAAGTGTCCTAGATTAAGTATATGAAGCTCTTAATTAAAAAAACAAACAAACAAAAAAAACCAAACAAAAAAACAGAATGCATAAAGGAGCTGCAAGATTCCACATTAGGTTGACCAATTTTTACACATCCTGAAAAATCCACCCAAAATATTAGACTAGCTGGATAACTGCTTTGCAAGTGGGGAGAAGTGAGAAAGTGTAGTACAAATTCATTAGCTTTTAAGGAGATTGCAGTTTGTTTTCTGTTTGCGGTTTCCATGTTCTGCAAAGTTTAAGTTTCCAGACAAAAATATTCCAAGGCTTCCTCTGAACTCAGATAGTGACCCAACACCAACTGCTGAATTCACATTGGAGCAAATAAGTCAAATAAATAAATAAATATCTTGTCCTGCAAGATGTTTATCATCCATTTTATTTCCTATTTTCTTCTTCTTAAACATTTTTAAAAAGAAGTTTTCAAAATTGAGTTGTGGGTAATTTTTTCCTTGAAAGCTTAATTTTTTCATCATTTTGAAGGTTTTACATTTGAATTTCAATTGTTGTTTAGCCATTTTATTTATTAATTACAAGTTTATACAACAGTAGTTACTACAACTGAAAGTTTATACACTGCATATGTTAACTTTTATGCAGATAAATTTTATATGTGCCAGTTATAAAAACTACACATGCACTGACGCGTTCACTATGCAGGCATAAACACAACACCTGCCAGTACACACACAACACCTTTAGCATCAGTTAAAGCCTTCTTCATCAGGAGCCACATTTTCGTGTCAGACTAGAGGATTTATATGCCTCTGCACATATACTTTATGTGCCATTTATATGAAATTATTGGGACAGAACTAAAATTATATATAGTTGCTGATAATGTCGCACCGGTTCAACAATTAAATTTTTGCATATAAGCACATACTGGAATTTAATATTATTTATCAAAATATTTATCCACATATACATTTAAATCTTAATACAACCTGTACCCAAAATAACTTTTCCATATTTAAAACACATATTGCATTCAAACTTTCAACATTAGGGCTTCACATTCTTAATGGTATTATTTTAATTTCTGTATGTTTGAGATTAGTTATATACATATAAATTCTAACACATGTTAAGAACTAATTAGTAGTTAGTAATTGAAGTTTAAATTAAAGCAATTACTATATTCATGCTAGAATTAGTGCTGTGGCTGAGATAAAACACTTCACTAATTCAGTTACAATAATGGGCCAGTTTCATTTTGTTTCTCTCTTCAATGCCACGTTATCATATCAAACAAGGTCACTCGTTGCCTTCAAACTATAAAAAAGGGTCAGGTTTGGTCAATTAGATTTATGAAGGATAATATTTTAAACGACTTCAGAAATAAATGCCATTTTTAGAATATTTGAGTTGAAATAAAACTTGTCTGTCATTGACCAGATGGGAAGTTATGATGTTGTAATATACACCAGCTCTTGGCTCTTCAAGCCTCTTGCAAATTGAAATGTACAATGGTGTGACTCACTTGGAGCAAAAATAAAATATAGCAGACATTCCCTACAGCCATGAAGCTAGCACCAATAAATGCACTGAGAAGTTTTGTAACGTGCATATGGAGAGGCATATGTTCTCCCATCCTCATAGCTCAGCACAAGTGAAAATAAGACTAGCCTCATAAAAAGTGACAAAAGGTGAAGTACATATAAATATCACACATATAAATGTTCAGTTTTGTAAAGTAAAAGAAAAAAAAGAACTCTGATTTCCAAATAGTATGATTATAAACCCCAAAATTAAGGAAAGAATGAATCACAACTACCACCAAAGGAACTGCAATATAAATTATCAGTAATTACTTAGTTTGATAACCAACTATGTTATTTTGGTTAGTATCCAAGACAGAAAAAAAGAAAACCTCAAATGATAAGTCCAAGATCTTATAAGGCAAATAACGTTAATTCTAATTCATGTTAACAACGTTGACAAAGATGTTGAAGTCAAACAGATAAAAGACTGTAGCCATTTTTAGGCATGAAAAATAGTGTAGTAAATCTGGTTAAATGGTGAAATTGTAAACTAAATCATTTCAGGAACTAGCAAAAGTTTCTCTTGAAATATCAAGCTTAGGAAGAGCAAATATTTAATAGGCACATTTATGCCAGGTTACAGTCTTCAGTTCAAAACTAGGTGGCCACAGCCAGGAGGCGTACAATGCCCAGTGCTTCCAATTTTGTTATGGAGAGTGAATATAAATTTTTATTAGATGTAAGAAGTAAAACCACAAAACAATCCAGGAAGAATAAGGATGCTCTGAAAAACAGTTTTCTGCAATACTTAAACACAATGTGTCTTTTAAATATTCTAAATGCAATATTTCAGGAAATAAAAGCTTCCATGATATAAATACACAGTGTAAAATCAACAACAAAATTAGAACACCTCAGAATGCCTCACTCAAATTACTTCATTACATACAGGGTCCTTCACTGTTCTTTCAGAGCAGGTGAAAGGTGTGTTATTAAAAGAAAACATTAAATATTAGAGATGTGCTTTCTTTTGGACTCCTCATTTTCCCATTTGGTGGTCAAGAAGATGTATAATTTCTCACCTTTCATCCAGGGAAAATATGTAAATGCTGGATAGCTGTGGAATAGTTTTCTGCTATTTAGTCAAGACAAACATGTCCTAAATAGGATCTGTATAATCCTAACTCCACCTCAAAAAAGAGAATTATGTCAGACTGAAACAGTACCAGCATTTCCTTTACATACTTTCATGCGGCAGAGGGTACTCACTTGTGAAGTCATCTTCTGAAATGCATGATTCACAGTATAATTTAAATTTGGAGTACTAGCCTTGGATTAGGGCATCAAAAAGCCTTTTGTCTTTTTTACAGTGAGTCCTTAGTGAAACAAATTTTCACAGAAATAGAGTAGATAAATCGTGCACTCATTCCCTCTCCCACATCCCCATTTCTCCACTTCTTTTCCTCCACCTATGCATAATGTATAAAACAACTGACAATTTCCCTTGAAGCTCTATTGAGAGGTAGACATGCTACAAACACATGATTTTTTCAAGCTTTAGAAAGACTCAAATTACTGTTTTCAAGCAGGGAAAAATACACATTCTGAATTCAACAATTATTCACTTTGTTTGGCATTTTGGTTAGTCAACCACACGACTTTGACACAGTCGCAGCATCTATTGCCTCTGGTTCAGCAGGTATCATAGGGAAGATATTGTGATGTACACGGTACAAGATATTGCATGTACAAGGTAAGAGGTAATAAACCCACAGCACACTGGTCTTCTATAGGTCACCATAGGTCACCACTCATATGATAACGCATTCGTCCAAACTATAAAAACACTTTATTGGAAAACACAATAGCAACTCACAAAAGCAGCTTTTCATAAAAATGGAGAGTGAAAATCTCTCAGGAAATAACTTTTGAAGAGGAGGAGGAGGAGGTGAAGGGGTTAGGAGAGGATCTACATTGGTGTGGGAGTGCTTCAGGTTCAAAATTAGAAAGGGAATGACAGCACAGCTGGTAGCATCCGTCTCATATGTAACTTGTCATTATATGCCGCAATACAGAAAAATAAATTAAGCTTTTGTCTCTAATCATGCAGTAATCTCCCAAAAAATCAACTACGATGAAGCAGTATATTTTTCAATGAGTTATTTATATATTAAACCTTTTTTTCTAAACCAGAAATCAAAACCAGAGAGGCACACATTCTTTCCAATTGGCACCTGTGCTGAACTACATTATTTTCAAGAGCTATACACTCTTTAATTAAAGCAAGAAAATTTTAAAGATAATTCAAATAAGAATGAATATACTAGCAAATAATGAATATACCAGCAAAAAGCTACACAGTGCACTGCTTTCAGTGTGACCTGTCTTGCAGACTCTTAAAGCTTAAAGATTAGGGAAATCTGCAATGAATTAAAAAAAAAGTTTCTATGTTTTTTTGTAATCAGAATATTAATTAGATATTGATTCAGATACACTCCTCTCAAAATTTTGTACCAGTATTTGATTAATATTGACTATCTCGTAATTTTTTTACAACAATCAACTTTTGATACTCACTTTAGTAAGGAACAACAGGATGATGGTATGCAAAATAACCAGTGTAATGGATGATAAGAGACTTTGGAAAAATCTTGAGGAAGATGTTCATCAGAATTATTCAGAAATGTCCTGAAAAAAAACCAACAAACCTTCTGAATTACGTGGAAGACTGAAAATCTGTTTGTATCCCTAGGACTAAATATATATAAATAGAACACAGAAAGCTCCTAAATAATACTAAGATATGCATGCATATACATAATTGCAAAGTTAATTACTTATCTACTGTTAAAAATGTAATTCTATATCTTATTTACCTTCACTCTTTGAAACTTGGTATCTAGCACTGTCAATAGTGTTAAAGCAGTTTTCTTCATATTTTTACTCCTATCAGCACATTTTCAAACTATGTTTGAAACTATGTTTGAAAATGCATTGAATAAGCAAATTGCTCTTAAGTCATTAATTTCTATAGCTCTTGTCTTTCTGCACAATACACGCATCATACTGTCAATATCATAAGTAAAATATGCAAGTACATATACATGTTG